AGGCGGAGCAATAAGTATTTGGCGTGGGACGCCTGTAAAAAGCAACGGGGAGGACTAATTTGCGGAGCGACAGAATGTAATGAAGGCAGGCGAAGAGCAGATTTGCTCGTAGAAAGAAGTGAAACGTGCAAATCTGTGAATATTAGTCGAGTCGCGGGAGAATCTTTGTGTGGAAGGCGTTTTCGAGAGTAAACACAGGTGTGGCTGTTTCGATTCGGAACTGAACACGGGGAAACATGCAAGAAAAGAGTCAGAAAGGGCGAGCATAGTTGATTTATAGAAGTAAAATGACGTTTGTGAACTGTCACGAGTGAGTGTACATTTAGAAAAGGGCAGAAGAAGTGGGAAATATAGTGTAGGAATAGGGTAGTTGTGTTGTATAAAAAGCCTGGTGTGGAAGCTGTCTGTCTGGCGCCAGACCCCGCAGCGGGCAGTTCCGCGGTCCCTGCACTCACCACAGTGGGGGCTTTTCCCTGCTCTGTTCCCAGCCTCGGGCGGTCCGCCCCGCATCATCTCCCGCGAGGCCCACACCTCCGTGCGGGCCCCTCGGGGGGCTGCGGGTTCGCAAAGGACGGAGCACTTCCCCCAGTTATGCGGGCAGGCCCCAGCAGACTTCATTTCGCCACCTGACCGACCACCGCTTGGTTCACAGCGGGCCGCTACACCCGCCGGTCGAGCACATCCAACAAAGCGCAACTATTTCTAGGCATACACCCATCACGCTGTCGGTAATGAGATTGTATCCATGCACGCCGCGTGGCTAGCATACAGGCTGGAGGGAACTAGCGGAACTTTGGTGAAGTGCCGCTTGCCACGTATCCGCTTTAATACGCATCAGAACGCGCAGGCAAATATTCAAGTACTTACTTGCATTGATGAGCACAGAACAATGTTGCGATCCACGTTGCTGCATAGGCACTAGGCGAGTAGTGTGCACTGAATCGGAAGTAAGGGGCTATGGCTTTACACTGTGGTCTATTTGTGTTAGCCAGGGCTGAGGGGCTCCTTGGTTAGCAGTTGAGTGTGGAGAGGCACGAATACACTGTGTGCCTTGGCAGAGGACTGGAAGAGGCAACAGGGTCACTAGCGTTTTGTTGGTTCAGTCAGATCTAACGGTAAGCAGCGAAGAACTGTTAGGCAGGAGCCGGAAAAAGAAGGTAGAGCGGGGTTAGAAGCATCAAATGGTGAGTGTTGGGGGCAAATTCAGTTTGGGACGTGGTGGCAGGGTTTGGTTAGGCGGAGCAATAAGTATTTGGCGTGGGACGCCTGTAAAAAGCAACGGGGAGGACTAATTTGCGGAGCGACAGAATGTAATGAGGGCAGGCGAAGAGCAGATTTGCTCGTGGAAAGAAGTGAAACGTGCAAATCTGTGAATATTAGTCGAGTCGCGGGAGAATCTTTGTGTGGAAGGCGTTTTCGAGAGTAAACACAGGTGTGGCTGTTTCGATTCGGAACTGAACACGGGGGAACATGCAAGAAAAGAGTCAGAAAGGGCGAGCATAGTTGATTTATAGAAGTAAAATGACGTTTGTGAACTGTCACGAGTGAGTGTACATTTAGAAAAGGGCAGAAGAAGTGGGAAATATAGTGTAGGAATAGGGTAGTTGTGTTGTATAAAAAGCCTGGTGTGGAAGCTGTCTGTCTGGCGCCAGACCCCGCAGCGGGCAGTTCCGCGGTCCCTGCACTCACCACAGTGGGGGCTTTTCCCTGCTCTGTTCCCAGCCTCGGGCGGTCCGCCCCGCATCATCTCCCGCGAGGCCCACACCTCCGTGCGGGCCCCTCGGGGGGCTGCGGGTTCGCAAAGGACGGAGCACTTCCCCCAGTTATGCGGGCAGGCCCCAGCAGACTTCATTTCGCCACCTGACCGACCACCGCTTGGTTCACAGCGGGCCGCTACACCCGCCGGTCGAGCACATCCAACAAAGCGCAACTATTTCTAGGCGTACGCCCATCACGTGAGGTGACCCCGGGATTTTCTAGTGCCGGGATTCGAACCCGCACGGCGATGGCGCGAAGGCCGCTGTCGAGCAGCTTCACTTACTTTTTAAACGCTTTTTTAATCTTTTTATTCAAAATGAAGCTCTGTTTCGTCATTAATTAGCGCTGCCAGGCCAGTATGCTCAGCGTGTCGGCGTAGCACACCCTGAATGATATTCTGAATTGGTGGCGCTGAGTATGGGGCTTTTCCCGCACTCTCCGGTATTTTTATGCGGCGATATGCTAAACATGGAATTACTTCGCATTTTTACCCAGAGAAATAGGTTGCTGCACTATTCGACTGCATCCTGAACCTGGCAAATTGATGGCCAGCCAAGAGAATGCCTTTTCTCGACGCAATGAGTATACTTCCCTTGTAACCTCTGCAAAGTGCCGTGCTTCCTTATGAATCAAAAGTCACACTCGACAGGATTTTCTTTCAAACTACATTTGAATTTACTATCATGGCTAGCAGACATAGGGTGCAACGACCGCTAATAGTTACCTCCGCTGTAGGCCACCTTAGCAGAATATTGTTTTTGAAAGCAGTAGGTACTGTTTCTACTGGCTCTGGAAAGCCCCATGGAAAGCAAAGCTTGTTGCTATGCTGTCATTTCCACATGCGCGGATATTTTGAAGCAGCCGCAGCAACGGTAACAGCAAGAAGCTGAATTTTTGGTTGGCGTTTTACAACAAAGGAGAACCACCAGGAGAGGTCCGATGAAAGATGTCCCTGTCGGCGACCAGTGCGCCGGGCATAGAATGTTGCTGCACCTCTGCGTATTACTGCTGCAGCAGCAGCAAGCAGAAGTTTATTGATGCTGTAAGCTTGTGTCGAGGCGGACGTAAGCTTGCGGCAGTCCAGCGAAGTCAAACTGTATGAAAATGATTATGGAATTGAGCCAGTTTGAACAACGTAGCTGGCAGATAGGCTGGAGGTAACTGCCAAAATGCTGATGAAGTAGCGCCCAGCAGTATTCACTTGAACGCACATCACCATGCTTTTCCAAACCTCCGCAGTTATCTGCATGTACCAGCACATTGTACCCATGCTTCGATTCACATCCTCGTTCACGCTTTAAATGAAGATTCTGGACACCTGGGGCGAGTAACTCTTGCTGTGTCACTTTGGCTCCATTTGTACCCGAAAAGGCTGTAGGTGCAGCCCCCAGTGCACTTCCTGCCTTTGCCAGCCTTCCGAAGAAGCAGCAGGGTCACTTGCTTTTGTTTGTTGCAGCAAAACCGAAAAGGAAACAGAAAATAAACCCCAAGAGCTTCTGCACAGGCACGGCACAGAGCACAAAGAGCACAAGTGGGAGTGAAAAACCCAAGTAACCCCGAGTAACCGTGTCTGCGCATGAAATTCAAAAGTTGAATTTCACCTGATTTCAGTACCTGGAGGCAAGTAGGCAAGTAGGCAATCAAGAGCTAATGCCGAGTCCCACAGAAACAGAAGAGGCTATAATTTATTTACAATGGCCGCAGATTTGACCAGTGGTCATGATGGTACAGGACCCGCGCGTGCATGAAGTTATGTTTGAAAGTTTCCAAAACAGTGAAACCTGCACGACAAAGGCCCGGTGCTTCGGAGCTTAAGCCTTTATGTAAACATACTTTCCTTGAATTTGAAAGAAGCACGAAAATGACAGAAAAGCCGTATGGGTGAGGGAACAACTCCATTGCTCTACGGTTTAATATTTGCTGCAATCCTCAAGAAAGCGAAACCTCCTGTCCAGCAACACCATGGCAGCGAATCGCCGTAGGTGGATGGACGTACATATATTTCTGTACCAACACCCACCACGCGAGGTGACCCTGGGAGAAATAAATACCTCCGTTCTCCCCCGGGTTTCAACATCATTTGCCCTATTTTAATCTCTTTTCCTCTTCTAATTTGTTTTCCATGGATAACATGAGTAGTTACACTACGCAGCAATACTTAGCCAGCAGCAGCTGGATGGCATGTAACATGTTCAGAACTCTTTCAAAGGGCCCTTTTCTAACTTTCATGAATTTATGTTAAAAGTGAGATCGTAAGGCATATATGAATCCCCGTTGCTTGTTCAGAGAAATGTACTTCTGCGCGGGTTCACTGCTTGCCAGATCCAACCGTTAGAGCCCCACTGGGTTGATCCCTTTGAAGTAACAAGTACTCTTTATGGAATTACCACTGCATGAAGTACGCTGACCTCTACGAAATGCCTCAAAAGCTATGGCGAGGCCAAAAAGTCCCCCAGGTGACCCCACAGGGGTCACTTGAGGGACTTGTTGGCTGCAGGACTGGCCTCAACGAGTGCTGAATATGAACAACGGACATCTACAGAAAAAGGCTCACATAAGTAAATAATAAAAGTACGAATTTCAGTTTATTTCATCAATTCCCGCAGAGTCTGACCTGAAGTGACCAAAGGGGCCGAGAGCCACAACTTGGTAAGAGCAGGGGCCGTCGTGGCTTCTTGTAAGTGTTTCGGGCCAGCTAGGGCTGCTGCTGTGACGAAAACGTGCACAAAACTGTTTACTTTTTTAGTTTCTTTTTCTTAATGTCTTAAAACAAGACTGCACACGAGGTCACTCCACAGCTCCTCTCTAACTCGACGCTTACAGCTCGACTGTGGCTCCTGAGCCCCGCAGTTTGGTATCTTTTACATCTGTGTATCTACGCCTTTTCCTCGTTTTATAAAATTGCTCTTTTCCTCTTTCTTGCTGTTCTCTCCTGGCTAACTAGAACCACAAGGGCTCCCAGCGGGGCTGCGGTCTCAGGCCCCAAAGTGACCCACGGTGACCTGGCTGTTTTTCTGCAGCCTCTTTGGCTCCCTAGCCTTCTCCTCGACCCCGCGTCCCGCTGCAGCTGCAGCTACTGCATTCTAGTTTGAGCCTGCAGCAGCAGCAGCAGCAGCAGCAGCGGCAGCGGCAGTAGCAGCGTTTGCATGAGTGGGCAGGTCCTCAAATTCCCGGCTTTTTGTCACTTTTCCCCTCTGCGTAGCTGCTGTGTGAGTCTGCTGCTTCGCGTTTCCTTTCCTTCAATGAGTCGCCGCAATGGGCCCTTCTGCTGCAACGAGGGGGCCCCCGCCAGGGAAGAGGGTTCAGTTGGTTCGGGGGCTCCATTGCTTGGGGGGCCCCCCGGGGTCCCCGCAACCGTAGCTGCAGCAGCTGCGAGGCGCAGCGCAGCAGCCCCGCGCGTGCCCTCCTGCTGCGTGGCCGTGAATGCCGAAACTGCACAGACACTGGCGGAGTGGGGGCTGCTGCAGCAGCCGCAGCAGCAGCCAGGTGGTGGCCCCGCTGCAGCGCACGGGCTGGTAGTGGTAGGGCGGCCCCAGAGCCAGCAGCTGCGGAGCGGCGTGGGCGTGGCGGCCGTGCTGCGAGCCGCGCTGCAGCGCCGCGGGATCGATCGTCTCCCCGATCCCAGGGCCCTGGCCCCCGCAGCCAGCTCGGGGGCCCTCAGCAGCAACTGGAGAAGCCTGGGGCCCCACATTGAGGCCCTGGGCATTTGGCTGGGGGACACTTGGATGGGGGCCCTCCAACGAGGTGACCCTGGGGCTGTGGGGCCCCTCCTGGACCTCATTGTTGAGCGGCAGCTCAAGTTTGAACAAAACGTTTTGGCCTACGATAACGCCCCTCTGCCTGCTGCTCCTGCCTCCCGCCCCGCTGGTGCTGCTGCTGCTGCAGCAGACAAGCAGCCTCCAGCGGTGGCAGCGGCGGCAGCGGCTGCTGCTGCAGCGCAGAGACAGCCTCCAGCGGCAACAGCTGCTGCTGCGGCTGCTGCTGCTGCTGCTGCAGCCCCGCAACCGGCTGCCAGCTATGACCGAAGGATGGGTCCCTTTTCCCCTGGGAAACAAACTGTCCCCTCCGGCAGCTCTTTTGCTGCCGGCTCTACTGCTGCGCTTGCTTCTGCTCGTGCTGCGTCTCCTGCTGCTGCGCTTGCTTCCCCGGCGCTCGCGGCTGCAGCTGCTGTTGCTGCTGCTGCTGCTGCTGTGCCCGAGCTGCCTTCTTTCGCTTCCAGTTTAAGCGAGGTCCAGTGGTCTTCACATTCCACAATTCATCAGCCTTTGACGCTGCCCTTTGGAAGGGGAACTCTTACTGAGGTGCAGCAGCAGCAGCAGCAGCAGGAACGCCAGCAGTCAATGCAGCAGGTGCAGACGCTGCAGCATTGGGATCAGCAAGGTCAGACACAGCAGCACGAGCAGCAGCAGCAGCAGCACAGCGTCAGCTGCCCAGGGCAGGCCTCCTGCTCGATCGTGAGCCAGCCCACAGTTGCTGCTGTGAGAATAGCAGCACAAGCTTCGGCTGCTGCATCAGCAACAGCAGCAATCAGGGTAGACGCAGCAGCTGCTCAGTCAGAGGCAGCTGCACCAAAGTGGGCTGCTGCTGCTGCGGCCCACATAGAGAGCGCAGCGGCGATAAGGCCTCCGAAGCAAGCAGAGGTCCAGAGTAAGTGGCACTTCAGATGCGGCTGCTGGTGCAGCTCCTGCTGCAGCTGCTGCCGTCCCAGTTCAGTGTTGGTGTCTTATAGGCATCCTGGCTGCTTTCTATGCCTCTGCTAATATTTCTACTAGAAGCAGCAGCGATTCGGATGGACCCCACTGCCGTTTCTGGGGTTGCTGCGGCTTGCTGCTGCTGCGTCTTGCTGCGTCCCTGTGAAGTGCTTCTGTGCTGCTGCTGCATCTCCTTTGCTGCTGGACCTTCTCTGCTGCTGCAGCGGATGAGCTTGGAGAGCCGCTGGCCACGGAGCCTCCTGCAGGCATGCCTATCTCGAGTCTCCGCAGCAGCGACAGCAGCAATAGCAGCAACAACCTGTTGTGTCAGTACCTAGCTGAGGCTCTGCTGCAGCCGCTGCGCCGCAGCAGCAGCATCAGCTTCTCGGCTGAGGGCGCCTGCAGCACAGAAGCCCTCCCTGAAAGTCCCCCCTTCTTCTCCCCCGTGGGTTGCTTAGCTGCTGCGCCGCTGCGGCTAAACAGCGGTCCGCAGCAGCAGCAGCAGCAGCAGCAGCAGGCTGAGGCGCATATGCTGGATGACATTCCCGTGGTCCCCACAGAGACAGAGACTCTTGGAAATGTCTTGAGCCATGGAGCTGCTGCAGCAGACTCCACAGGAATGTCACCAGGGCCGGCAACAGACGAGCAGCAGCAGCAGCAGCAGCAGCAGCAGCAGGAGCAGAACTTGAGCAATGGGAGCAACGCCGTTGGAAAGCAGCAGGAAGACATGCAACAGGAGCAGTCGCCCCACCTAAGCGGAAGCGGCACCAGCCCGCAAGAAGCTGGAGCAGCAGCAGCAGCAGCAGCAGCCGCAACAGCAACAGCAGCAGCAGCAGAAGCTGCTGCTCCCCTGGGTGCTGCAGAAGAGCCCAAAATCTCTACTGGGCGCTTCAGCTGGGTGGGCCCTTCGAGGCGCCGCAGCAGCAACATTTTTGTGTCTCCTTTAGGAGACTTTGGGGGCCTCCCGGAAGCAGCCTTTTCTGCGCACACACTGACGGGGCAGCAGCAAACCGAGCAGCAGCAGCAGCAGCAGCAGGAACAGGGGGCCGGCAGCGACAGCGAGGCGGGGCTCGGGTCGCTGTGGAGCCGCAACGACAACATCGAAGAGCTGCTGCTGCAGTCGCTGAAGCAGCACTTTGGCTGCAGCAGACGCAGCAGCATCAGCATAGTGCAGCAAAAAGGCCAAATGCTGCATGCGCTGCTGCAGTCCGAAGGCTCCCAGGCTTTTGCTGAGGGCCTTCATGACTGGGCTGAGGGTTTGAAGCAAAGGGCCCCAGAGGCTGCGCGGCTCCTGCAGCGCGAGCCCAAGAAGGCTCCCATTGTGCTGCAGATCTTCTACGCAGGTGCCGTACCCTCCTGCTGCTGCTACTGCTGTTGCTGCTGCTGCTGCTGCTGCTGATCTTACGGGGTCCTGGTTTCGCTCGGCAAGTTCGCAGCAGCGGCTTGTATTTTCCAGCTGTTGCGCGTTGCAGCTGTTGCGACGGCTCCTGTAGCAGAGAGAGAAGCTGCAGTCCCTTCGCTGCTGCTGCTGCTCTTGCTCCTGCCGCTGCTGCTGCTGCCGCTGCTGATACCCTCGCGGTGTTCCACCAGGCCCGAGCGCCTCGCGGGTGTGACCTTGTGTTTGCTGCAGCTGCTGACGCCATTGCTGCTGCTGCTGTTGCTTTGCTGCTGCTGCAGGGGCGGCGCTGCTTCACTCGAAAGGGCTCTTCGGCGGCGCAGCTTCGCTGCTGGAGGCTCTTGCGCTTCTGCTGCAGCAGCTGCCTCTGAGCTGCGAGCCGCTGCAGCAGCGGCTGCTAGAGCATCTTCGTCGATCAGCTGCTGCTGCGTCTTTGGCCGAGGTGGCAGCAGCAGCAGCAGACCACGAAGCGTACGTACACTCCGAAGAAGCAGCAAAACTTCTTGCTGCCACGGGCAATTTGCTGCTGCACTGGAGCTGCGCAGGCAGTGCGCCCTTGTGGGCTGGGGGCCTTCTGAAGAAAGCTGTCCGCGACGAAGCCTCATACTTCCTGCTGGTCAGGCTCGTGCTGCAACAGCAGCAGCAGCAGCAGGAAGGAGAGGAAGGGAAGGCAGCGGAAGTCAGGGCATTGTCTATGGAGGTCCTTGAAGCTCTGGCTGTAGAGGCATGCAGCGCTGTGAGTGTCTCCTGCTACTGCTGCTGCTGCTGCTTTGCTGTTGTTGCTGCTGCTTTCCTGCTGCTTTGCTGCTGTTGCTGCTGCTTTGCTGCTGGTATTTTGCTGCTGCTGTTGCTGTTTTGCTGCTGCTGCCGCTGCGGCTGCTGCTACTGCTACTGCTGCTGCTGCTACTGCTGCTGCTGCTACTTTGCTGCTGCTGCTACTGGAGTCAATCCTTCAGTCTCGCCCAAAGCTCCTTTTCTTAAGCTGCGCCTCCACCCGCCTGCAGCTGCTGCGCCGTATATACACTTTGTTGTTCTTCGCTTTGTTTTCTTTTTGTCATCTTTTGCTTTTTGTTTCATTTTGTCTTTTATCACTTTTGCTTTTCATCTCCTTGGCATTTTTTAATTGAATTAAATTGTCTCCCGCTGTTCTTGGCGGGCCCAAGTGCCTTCGCTGCTGCAGTAGCAGCAGCAGCTGCTGCTGCTCTTGCGGCTGCTGCTGCTGGGTTGTCCTTTCAGGTACTTCAGCGGCAAAAGCCCCTCACAACCCGCGTCGCTGCGCTGCTGGTGCTGGGCCCCTTGATCTGCTGCAGCAGCAGCAGCAACAGCAGCAGCAACAGCAGCAGCAGCAGCGCGCAGCCTGGCGACGACGATCCGTCCCACATCCACAGGCAGATTCTCGGCTGCCTCCGCATAGCCCTTTCCGAAAGGTGACCACCAGCAGCAACAGCAGCAGCAACAGTAGTAGCAGCAGCAGCAGCAACAGCAAACGTTTACTGACAGCCAGGCTGTCAGCCCTTCAAGAGCCAGCAGCAGCAGCAGCGGCAGCAGCAGCAACAGATATATATATGCTTTTTGTGCCCGCTTTATGCTTCAGAGAAGGGGTGTGGAAATCAGCAGCAGCTGAGACAGCATCTGCAATTGTTGCTGCTGCAGCAGCCAGCAGCTGCCGCGAGTTTGCTGCTGCAGTGGTTGGAGGGGGCTTTGTGCTGGAGGCCCTTCTTCCCGCAGCAGCAGCAGCAGCAAAGGCACAGAAGGGCATTTACGCTGCGCAGCCTGCAGCAGCAGCAGCAGCAGCAATAGAAAACAGCGCCGGCGCTGCAGGCGTAGACAGTAGGTCTTTTTGTGTTTATTTCGCAACTCCTTTTGTCTTTCCTCTTCCTCTTGTTTCCCTTGTCTTTTTTTTCTTTTTTCTTTTTTATTTTATTCCTTTTGTTTCCCTTTTATGCTTTTACATTTTGCTTCTTCCATTTTATTTCTTTATCTTTTCCGGTGTCTCTGCTGCTGCTCTTTGCCTTTTCCGGAGCTTCCCCGCCTCTGCCTGCTGGCTGCCTCGGTGCTGCTGCTGGTGTTGCTGCTGCTGCTTTTGCTGCCACCGCTACTGTTGCTGCTGTTGCTTTTGCTGCTGCTCTGCTGCTGCTGCTGCTGCTGCTGCTGCCAACGATCCGGTCTCCCTGATTCTAGCAGCAGCAGCGTGCTTGGCAGCAGCAGCATAAGCGGTCGGAGCTGCATGGAGCCTGTGAACCTGTTGCTCCCGCTGCCACTGCTCCCACTGCTGCTGCTGCTGTTGCTGCCAATGCTGCTGCTGCTGCTGTGCTGCTGCAGATTCCCGTCTCTTCTCTTTCTTAGAAAACTACCTAAGTGCTGTTGGCCGGCTGCACTCTGAAGACGCGCGACTTTACGCAGCGTTTTTCTCCTACCCCAAGTGAGTCCCTTTTTCTAGCTTGCATTACTTGCTCAAGGGCTGCCAATCTGCTTCTGCTGCTGCTGCTACTATTGCTGCTGCTGCTGCTGTATTGATGCTGCTCCCCTGGTGCTGCCGTAATTGCTGCTCCTGCTGCTCATGCTACTGCTCTTTCTCCGGCTGTCGCCGTTGCTGCTGCTGCGGGCAATGTTCTCTGTTCCTTGCTGCTGCTGCTGCTGCTTTTGCTGCTGCTGCTGCTGTTTGCTGCTGCGCTCAGCACGTCTACGGAGTCTGCTGCAGCCCTCCTCTCCGCCATCTCCTGGGTAGGTAGGCACGGCAGGGGCACGCGGGGGTCCCTTTGGGGCCCCTGGGGACCCCTGGGGGCCCCTTGGGGGCCCTACAAGACGCTGGGGGTCCCCTGGGGCTCCCACAGCCAACCCCTGAGAAAGGCTCCGGGGGGCTTCTTGGGGCTGACAAAATGCCAAGAGGCCTACGAGCTTTACAGCAAATCAAGGCACCTCGTTCTGCAGCAGCAGCAGCAGCAGAACTGGTAGCAGCAGCTGGAACACTGAGAGTAGCAGCACTAGCTAAGCTCCGACAGTAGTGATGCCAGCGGCTTGAGCGCAGCAGCAGCAGCAGCTGCTGCTGCTGCTGCCGCTGCTGCTGGTGCAGACTAATTGCGTAGCAGGGACGCCCCTGCTGCAGTGCTCCGCCCTTTTGCTGCTGCTTCTGACTCAGCTGCACACAGAAAAGGACCCTATAGATGCTGCTGTTTTGGCCGAGCTGCTGCTGATCTGCTGGAGGGGCAGGGGGGCCCCAGCGCTGCTGCAGCGGGTCACGCGGAAGCTGCTGCTGCTGGACCGGCAGGGCCCCCCAGCAGCAGCAGCAGCAGCAGCAGCAGCAACAGCTGAGGCAGGGCCAAGACAATGCCTCGCTGAAATTCTCAAAGACCTTCTGATGGGAACTTCTCGAGAAAACCCTCTTGAGAAGGAGACAGTCGATGTGCTGTTGTCTCTCTGCGACCAGTGCATGGCGTAAGCCGCCCATCTAGGGTTTAGGGTTTAGGGTTTAGGGTTACGGGTGTGGTGTGAGGGGTGCAGGGCGTAGGGTCAAGGATTAAGGGTCTAGGGTGTGCGCTTGAGGGTTTAGGGTTTTGGGTTTAAGGCATAGGATTGGGAGATTAGCATTAAAGGTTTAGGGCCATAAGAGGTCAAGGACATCTGGTGGGATTTGACTCGTCTAGGGCTTAGGGTTTAGGGTTTAGGGCCTACAGTTTAATTGAATAGTGATGCTACACAGTAAAGTGTCTCTTATCTTCTTTCCGCCTTTGCCGTGGCTTCCCTGTTTTCTTTCTCCATATCACTTTCTCTAAACACTTCAGGGTTAAGGGTTTAGGGTCTAGGGTTTAGGGTTTATGGTATAGAGTTCAAATTCGGGTTTTGTGTCCAACTGCCTCGCCGCCAGTGCACTGCAGCCGGGCTGCTGCGTGTCTAGTTAAGTGCCCGCTGAGGGTTTCTTTTGCTGCCTGGGCTGCAGCAGCAGCAGCAGCCGCAGCAAAATTGCTGCTTTTTGCTTCTTTCTGTCCCTGTCCTTTTTGCTGCTGCTTGTCTGCTGCTGCTGCAGAGAGGAGACAGGCGCAGCAGCAGTATCTCACTTCAACAGTCTCACTATTAGCGGGGTGCCCCCGGCGCCGCTGCTGTCGTTTTCTGCTGCGGACCACCTGCTGCAGGAGCTGCAGCAGCAGCAACCTGCAGCAGCGGCGGCAGCAGCAGGCCAGCAGCAGCTAGATGAAGCAGCAGAACTCGAGGCCTTCTGCAGCGACCACTGGCTCGAGAGGCCAGGAGCAGCGGCAAGTTCTGTCTCCTTTAGTCTCACCATTTCAGGCCGTGCCTCAAGCGTGTTTGGGGAGCAGCAGGGACTGCAGCCAGTAGCAGCAGCAGCAGCAGCAGCAGCGGCAGCAGGAGCAGCAGCAGCGGGAGAAGAGGTTGGCGAGCCATTTCCCCCGAAAGAGGTATCTCTTTTTGCGCAGCTTTGAGAATACAAAGAGCAGCAGCAGCAGCAGCAGCAGCAGCAGAAGCAACAGTGTGCTGTTTGTGGTTTTTGCTGCTCGTCTTTCAGCAGGACCCCCAAGGGCCTCCGCTGAGGGTCCCCCAGGGCCCCTCCAGGGGCCCCAGTGGGGGCCCCCAAGGAAGCCCCCAAGAGGGCCCCCTTGGGGGCCCCCAAGGGGGCCCCCTGGGGGCCCCCAAGAGGGCCCCCACGGAGACCCGCCTTGTCCACCGCAGCGTTTTGGCGTCGCTGCGGCCTTTCAAAAGCCAGCCGCCCGAGGGGCCTTCAGCAGCAGCAGCAGCAGCAGCAGCAGCAGCAGATGCAGCGGCAGCAACGCCAGAGCCGCTGGAGGAGGTGGAGTGTAAACTGCTGCTGCAGTGCTTCCGGCCTGTTTTTGTGAAGCTCTTTGAAGTGGTGAAGGTCAGCAGCAAAAGAATTCAAAAATAAAAAAGAAATGCTTTTCTATCTTTATCTTTGCTGCTGCTCTTTCGGCTTTTGTTTGCTTCTCTTCTGCTGCACCTTTGCTTCAGGCTTCAAAAGGCTGCAGCTGCTCTGCTGCTGCTGCTGCTGCAGCTGAGTAGCAAAAGGCTGCAGCTGCTCTGCTGCTGCTGCTGCTGTGCTGTTTTGCTGCAGAAAGCAGCGCAGAAGCCCTCAGGAGGAGAAGGCTTTGCAGACCCTGTAAGGGCCCTAACCCTTATCCGTAAACTGCAAACCCTAAACCCTAAACCCTAAAGCCTATGCCGCCCACCGTAGCTACAATCGTTTTCGCTCCAACGCATACCAGCAGTTAACAGCCTCAGGGCTCGCAAGACCCTAAACCCCAAACCCTAAACCCTAAACCCTATTCCCTAAATCTGCGGCTACTGCAGTGCGAAGAAGACCTGCTGCCACTGACGGCGCTGCCTTTGATACTCCAAGCTGTGGGAGCCCCCAGCAGCAGCCGCAGCCGGGTCTTCTGCAGCAACCTGTGCAGGGCCATGAAGCAGCAGATTGCTAGGCAAGCGGCCTGCAGGGTTTAGGGTTTAGGGTTTAGGTTTTAGGGTTTGGGGTTTGGTATCTAGGCTGCGAGGCTTGGCGTTCAGGGTGTAGGGACAACGGGCTACGGTTTGCGATATAGGGTGTAAGGCGTAGCGTTTAGAATTAAGGGTTTAGGGTTTAGGGTTTAGGGTTTGGCAAAGTCGCTCGTTCGTTTAGGTTAGAGCCTGCTGGGCCTTCTCAGCAGCTGAATGAATTAAACCGAGCGGAGTTCGAGATCTTCCTCTGCCAGCTCGCATTCTCAAGTACCTGCAGCCCATGCCCTAAACCCTAAACCCTAAACCCTAAACCCTAAACCCTACAGTCTAAGTCGTAGACTCTAAACCTCAAACTCTAAACACAAGGCCCTAAAACAATCATTTCACTACAAGATGAGCTGCGAAGGGTCCATGCCTTTGCGTTCTTCCAATGCTTCCAGCTTGGAATTCAGAACGTGGAATTTAGGGTTTAGGGTTTAGGGTTTAGAGTTTAGGGTTTAGGGTTTAGGATTGTTTGCTGCAGTGGAAAGCATATCGCCGCCGCCTATGGTGCACCGCGGCGTCGCCTTGGGCCCCAAGACAGAAAGAGGTGCCCAGATTCTGTCTCTGCTGCACCGCATCAAGCGCGAAGGAGGTCAGCAGCAGCAGCAGCAGCAGCAGCAGCAGCAGCAGCAGCAGCAACAGCAGCAGCTGATGTTGCTGCTGGTTCTGCTGCAGCAGATGCATTTGTGGCTCCAGCGCTGAACCCCCAACTGCCCTGAGGGTTTTAGTTTGCGTCTTTACTGCATTTTACGCTGCAGCTGCTGCCAGTGCACAAGCAGCAGCAGCAGCAGCAGCAGGAACTCCAGCAGCAGCAGCAGCAGCAGCAGAGGCCGCAGCTCGACAGGCCACTTGCGTAGAACGCATTTTCTGCTGAGTGCCCTGCAGCAGCCCAGGGTAGCGGAGCCTGCAAGCCTCTGCGTCTCCCCTGCCGTCCAAGTTCAGGGCTGAGGGTTTAGGGTTTAGGGTTTAGGGTTTAGGGTTTGCGGGCGTTCAGAGGTGCCTGGGTCCCGCACTTCCTGCCTCCCCCCACTCATCAAAGCCTGCGAGGCCAGACTAGCAGCTCGTCATGCAGCGCTTTTGGTGGAGAGTATAAATTGTTTGTTAAGTGTGGGGGCCCCCATACAGAGGCTACCGCCCGGTAAACCGTAAACCCTAAACCCTAAACCCTAAGCCCTGAGCCCTGAGCCCTGAGCCCTGAGCCCTGGACGCTGCAGGGAGGGCGCAGCGAAACCCTAAACCCTAGTTCGTGGGCCCGGCGCCTGGGCACTGGGGCTTCCCTGGGAGACTAAAACGGCAGATTCACAGTTTGTACTTTCTAGGGTTTAGGGTTTAGGGTTTAGGGTTTA